AACGCTCCCCTTTCTTCTGATCTACCACCCGGGAATCGAATTTTCAGCACTACTACTGTAACCATATGTGTTTGACTACCTTGACCTTAATAAAAGTAAACTAATAAAAAAGAACATTAAATGTCCTTCGTATCAAGGCCTTCTTACCCAACTGCCAGACCGTAAAAGATGATGTTCGGTGGTGAACCTATCAAAGTAGCGATTCCACCGCAACCAGCGGCATAACAGACAGACAAGCTGATTCCAGTTGCGAAGCGTCGCAGTCGGTGTATACCTTTTTTCTTCTTTTTTTCTTCCCTAAAAAAACGCAAGGGGTTCGTTTAAACACTCGCCACAGGAGCATTCGCATTTCACTCAAGCATCCGAAAAAAAGCATTAGATTGCATTAGATATTAATTTTGGAGCATACTCTAAGTCCTCCTTCATGCTTGTTTTCTCCGTGTTGACTGTAAAAAAAGGGGGGAATGCAGTATTAGGTTTGGATGCAGGCACTCTGGTTGGTATTGGTGCTTTTAGTGTTTAACAAAGCTATTTACCCGCAATATTGTCGTCCATCTTTGTGAGAAGAGCCTCCACGATGGTGATCATCATGACGGTTGTGGCGGTATTGCTCATCCACATTGAAAGAAACCAAGTGGGAAGCATCACACTGAGTATCAGCCTAGATAAGGTATAAAAATATGGTGAATATTTAAATCCATGTGTTACATTAACATTACATACCTGCTTATTTGATTTAAGTAGGCAAGTTATGTAAGGCTGGATTAAAGTTCAGATTAAACATAAGGGGTAGCTGAAGGCCCATTTCATACCGCGCGTCTGTTCTAGCCCCTCATTTGCGTAATAAAACAAACATACACCAGAACTGCGAGTATTCTCCATGCCTTCCTCAAACTTCTTTTATTGTTTCGCTCATCTACAATACTGCTAAAGCCTATATTATTATGCCTGCCGGTTTACAGGGGTCCCTGTGATTTATTTTCTCAGTGGATGCACATAGTTAATCATTGTCAAAATAAAACTGGCCAACTGTATTAAATTAATGCATCAGACTCTTTTGAGGATGGTTTTGCTTATCAGCTGCGAATAGATGAATATGATCAGAATGGATGAGTATGGAGATGACCGCTTTACATGCGCATGACGTCTTAATAAATCGGTTCCCGGTAATATCCTATCATGTCTCACGATTTGTAACCGCAATAAAGTTTTCCGCTAGGGCTTTTTTGCACAGCTTATTTATTTCAAATAATGTGCGGAAGCATTCATCTAGTTAGC